ATGTTCCCCTAAAATTCATACATTGAAGCCCTAACACACAATGCCATGGTATTTGGCAATGGGGCCTTCGGGTGGTGATTAGAGTTAGATGAATTCATGAGGGTGGGGCCTTCACGATGGGATTAGTGGCTTTATAAGAAGAGGACAAGAGAGAGAGATCACACTTTCTCCACCATGAGAGGACACAGTGAGAAGACAGCCATGTGCAAACTAGGAAGAGGGTTCTCCCCAGAAACTGAATTGGCCGTCACCTTGATCTCGGACTTCCCCAACACCAAAACTGTGAGAAATAAATGTGTGTTGTTTAAGCCACCCCGTCTATGCAGCAGTCTATAACAGCCTGAGTAAACTAATTACGAGTATGAGAGAAAGTGACTGGGAGACGTGGTTTGGATTGGGATCAGGGAAGCACAATCTCAACAAGTGACATTTGGGCTGAGTTTATCCCATGAAGATCTAGGGAGCAGAGAGCATTACAAGCAAAAGGCTCTGACGCAGGAATGAGCTTGGCATGTTCGGGGAACAGAGATGGTCAGAGTGGCTGGAGTACAGGGAATGAGGAGGAAAATGGTAGGCAAGAAAGGTGCAGAGGAAGACATGAATTAGACCATAAAAGAAAGATGGAGCCCAGTGATTTTCAACCTTGTTTTTGGTTAAAAACCCCTTTGGGAATCTGCTGAAAGCTATGGACAGGCTCACCAGAAAAGACCACACTTATACATCATTTTACACATAATGTCAGGAATTTGGCAGTCCCTGATCCTCAGGTCTATCCGAACCTCAGATTGGGAACTTCTGAAACATGCAAAGACATTTTGAACACTACTTAGAGAAAAGGAAGAGAGAAAGAAACTGACACTGTTTGCAAGCTTTCTCTGTGTTGGAAACTTTGCCAGTTACTTATTTAACATATTTTTCATTATCCCCTTTGATAAATGATGAAACCAAGAGTTAGGGATGCTAAGCAATATGCTTAAGGCTATACAGGTATTAAATAACTGACAAAGAATTTGAATTGAAGTTGGCTTCACTCCAGAGACATTACTATTATTAAATGTGGGGTCTAGTTTCACCCCGCCAAGGATATTTTTATTACTAGGTGAAGGGTCTATATTTTCAACCAGCTGAGGGAGTATCCGTTTCCTTTTCACTGGCTCTAGCTGAATAGCAGTTCAGATTCTAAGGTTCCGTTTCTTTACTGCCACGTTGGTTATAATGTCAGCCTTTATTACTCCCAGCAGAGCAGTGAAATATAATCCCTATACCACTACCAATGAAGGCAGCATCACTCTATCCACACATGCTCCCTTTGTGTGCATGCCAGAGGACCTGCTCCAAGACTTTTCCAGCGGTTTAGTATTCTTCTCAAAGGACTCATTTGCTGAGCATCATCTTTCTTAATTAGGGACCCAATGTATTGCAGCTGATCCTTTGAACAAGAGGAGAATGGAGACCTAAGAAGGAGGCGTGACTATTCATTTCACGGTAATCAGCTTTGAAGCTGCTTGACAATGGATATTGATTTCCTAGTGCCTGGAAAATCTCCTGAGAGAGGTTTCTGATCTCAACCGCCTGAGCAATCTATGCATTTCCTTATTCACCCACCATACGAGGCCAGGAAATGGCTTATCATGCAATGACAAAGAAGCTACCTTCTCTGGAAGACAGCGTGCAGGAGAATGATTGGAAGTCTCCTCCTAGACCAAGATGAAGGAGGAATAGTTTGCAACAGACAAGGTCACAAACCACTCACTCTCCATTTTCCTACCTCTTATAGCCTTATGTAGAAGCTAACACTAGCTATCCTTTTTAGAACACACTCTAAACATATTATTTCCAACCAAAACACTGTTCATGTTATTACCCCTTTTTATGGATGAAGAAATTGAGGCTCAGAGATGTGAGTTACTTTTCACAGTGTCGCACAGCAAGTAAAAAGCCTGAGCTGAGAGTTGAAACCTCTATCAGTCTCAGTCTGAAGTCTCTGTTCTTCCACTACGCTAGGCTGCCTTGTTTTCCTAGATATGCATTTTCCTGCCTTGACTTTCCTCTTGCTGTAATTTTTTGAGCCAGTTAAGTCAGCATCATTCAGAGATAGTGATGCCTTGTTGGGGAAATTTGGCTTCCTTCGGCATCTTAATCAAGGTATCTGCAGACTGCAATAGAGCTAGGTTGCAATTCTATGTGTTGCCAGTAGGTGTCACCATCTTATGTAATGTGCTATTTATTCAAAAACGTTTACTGAGCACCTATTTTGAAAGGCTCTATTGTAGATGCCAGGGATACAGTCGTGAACAAGGCAATCTCTGCTTCATGAAACTTATATTGCAGTGGGGAAATCTGAACCATAAACAAATATTTAATATAACAGACAGCAATCAGTGGAATAAATAAATGCTAAAATTTACGGCTTCAGGCTCTGAAATTAATCAACTGTGTGAATTTGAAATATATTATATGTGGAAGGCCTGAATCTAGCGACATGAAACCAGCTGCCATACAATAGAAGAGTTCATCTCTCGAGAAAGGCCTGCACCTGACCCCATTCAACCAACCGGTGAAAACAATCAGCGTTCCCATTGCCCCAGTGAAACAGATCAGGAAAGGAAAATCTCCAGGGACTGCAGTTCACAGAGTCAGCTGCCTGAGTGTCAATCTTAAAGCCCTCTACCATCACCTATAAATAAGTCCCAATCCTAGAACAGTCTACGAGGCTCATGATGATCACACTGACCTCTCCAGCTGGATCCCGGGCCACATCCTCCTCACACTTTACACGCTAGTAAACCAGATCTGCTTTTCATCCTCATGTAAGTATATTATTTCACCCCTTCAGGGCTTTGTTGACCGCATCCATTCCAATAGAAAGCCATTTTTATTTTTTCTCATTTATATAGTCCCTACTCCTCTTTTAAAGCCATATCCAGCTGTCACCTCCTCCAAGAAGTCTTCCTTGTTTCCCCCAGTCTGAGTTAGGTGTTCTGTCTGAGACCTCTTCCACATCTTTTGGATTCCATCACTTGACTCCACCTTGTTTTACAATAGGATGTCTCTGTGTTTTGTATTCTTCTCGAGGAAAGGAATTAGGCCTTATTCTCCTCTATATCCTCTTTGATTAATTCAGCACTGTCCAACAAAAATGTAATGAAAGTAATTTTAAATTTTCTAGTAGTCACACTAAAAAGTAAAAAGGAACAGGTGAAATTCGTTTTCCTAATGTGTTTTACTTAACACAATATACCCAAAACATTACCGTTTCTACGTGTAATTAATATAGAAAATAAACAGTGAGATATTTTACTTTCTTTTTATGACACTAAGTCTTCAAACTCTGATAGGTATTTTTTACTTACGGTACATCTCTACTCCAGAAACTAAATTCTCATCAGAAATACTTGAGCTATGTTTAGATTTACTAAACTTATTCTCAAAAAGTATAATTGCATGTTCAAACTGTTCCAAACATACTTAAAATTTTTCTAAAAACTCAATTTAATATCAAAAAATCATTTTTCTGTGATATTCAAATCCACATTGACAAAACTGGCTCATCATTTTTAGAACAACTAACTTGACTTTGAAAGTACAGCCATTTCAAAACTGTGTCTGCCCACAATAAATTCATTAACCTGTGTCAACTCAGTGTCAACAGTGGGTTCAAAAAGGTACTGCATAAATTAAAAGCAGCTCTAAATTTGCCAATAACAATAAAATAGTCTTCAAATTCTTCTTGTAGTTTTTGTAGCCAAACTACATAATTCTGTCAATTAAAATATTCTGCATATTGATTATCGTTGGAGAAATGTATAAAATAATTTTTATTGATCTATGTAAGAACTTTTTTTTTAAGATTGGCACCTGAGCTAACATCTGTTGCCAATCTTCTTTCTTCTCTCTTTTTTTTCCCTTCTTTTCCCCAAAGCCCCCCAGTACATAGTTGTATATTCTAGCTGTAGGTCCTTCTGGTTGTGCTGTGTGGGATGCTGCCTCAGCATGGCCTGATGAGCGGTGCCGTGTCCCCTCCTGGGATCCGAACCCGTGAAACCCTTGGCCCCCAAAGCAGACCAGGCAGACTTAACCACTCGGCCACAGGGCCAGCCCTCAAATTTTTTTGATTAATATCTATGATGTCAGGTGACTAATTTACTCAATTATTTTTGGACTATTGAGAAGGAACTTCTTATCAAATTCACCGTATTTACTGTAAATATCTCTAATATTATCTATCATCTTTTTTTAACAAAACTGAGAGCTTCTTTGTTTTATTCTGCTGCAGTAAATTGCAATTGCCATTCACTGTAAAATTTCCAATATACTTTCTTCCAGTATCTTGTTTTCTTTTCTATTCTGATCACAGTATCAGCTTCTGCATCTCCATTCCATTCTGCATCAGTAGCCTGCTTTTATTTTAAATTTTAAAACATTTTCGGTAATTATCTTTTATTTTAAAAATTGTATTATAATTAAAATAATAGCAAGTATTTCAACTTAATTTTCAATTAAGATTTATCACAGTACTGTTATCACAGTAACTGGAGCTGTAAGCATAAAATATTCCAAGAAATACATTACAATGTTGCATGGATAGAAAAAAATCGTTCAAATTGAATCAATCCATTTACTCCAACTAGATCAGTAATGTGTTTATGTGCATTAGAGGGAATAATACGTGCACCTGATAAGTGCATTACTCTTTAACAGCTCTATCTTATGCAACGCAAACCTGAAGTGGAACGTCCTTCTACCAAAACAACAAAGCCGTGTTTAATAGAAAAATACTTTATATTATTTCCATTTGAAAATTTTAATTTAGGGGCAAGCCCAGTGGCATAGTGCTTTAGTTCCCATGCTCCACATCAACAGCCCGAGGCACATGAGTTTGGATCCCGGGCATGAACCCACACATTGCTCATCAAGCCGTGCTGTAGCAGTGACCCACACACAAAATAGAGGAAGATTGGCACAGATGTTAGCTCGGGGCCAATCTTCCTCACCAAAAAGGAAAAAATTTAATTCAAAGTAATGAAAACTAAATAATATTAAAAATTCTGTTCCTTAGTAATAGTAGTCCTATATCAACTGCTCAAAAACCACATGTGGCCAATGGCAACTATATTGGACAGCACAGGCCTAACACATTGTATGCAATCAACAAAAATCCTTTGAATAAATAGGCCCACATATATATCTTTCACTAACTTTACATTTGAAGCCTAGAAATTAAGATCTAAATATAGGTGCATCATACTCAACTTGTCTCTAATCTAAGGTCAATGGTACAGAGACAGTATCTGATTTTTAATAGACTAGTGGGGATTCTGGAGGGTGGCGTGCTGCAGACAACAACCTGGAGTTGAAGGCAACGTGGTGTAATTCAGAAAAGCATCGGACCTTGGGCCAGATGATGGGGGTGGAGTCCCCTGTGTCTGTCAGATTTCTCCTGTTTAAAAGAGACTGCCTAAATACTCCACATACTTGCTGTGAGGGATCAAATGAAAATATTTCTAAGTTTTAAAACGCTGTCCAAATGTTAGTGTTTTTGTCTTGTCTGTGACAGTGGGAAGTCTGTCTCGGGCTGAAGGCTACACCATTGAGGAAGCATCTGAGTCACAGACAGCGGGACAGCTTTGTTAAGCACCTGGGGCAGCCCATGCTCTTGGCAGACTATGCACAGGCACCGTCGATACCAGGAAGATGTCTTACTATTAGCCAATCACAGTTACACATAAAATTCAGAGACGAGTGCTTAATTGTTCTTTATATTTTTCAGGCAGAGGAACTGAATAGCTAAGAGTGCAGGCTTCTGAACCAGGCTACCTGGCCTTGAATCCCCGGCTGTGCTAGGGCATTTAAGATTTAGGATTTAGGATTTAGCAGCTGTATGACTTTGGGCTCATTAATTAACTTGCCATGCCCCATTTTTCGTGTCTGTAAAATGGGGGTAACAATAGACCTGTCTCATAGGGTTGATTGAAGAGTGAAACAATCCTTGTCAAGTGTTTAAAACAGTGTGTGGCACATATTAAGCTCCCATTAAATGATTAATGACAGTTACATCCATGCTGAGGGCACCGTGGATGAGTTTCTAGGAATTCTCTTCTTTTTATGATTTTTCTCCATCTACTTCCCCACGAATCCCTCTGTCCTCTATACTGTATCTGGTTCTAACCTAGGACATCACAAATCCTTCAGATTCAGCTCATCATTGGAGCAGACAATAAGTTTTCCATTTTCTGCAGAATGGAATATCTGTTAAGACAACTCTCCTTGCTGACTTTGACCATCGTTCCCGGCTGAATTTAGGTGTGTTATCATGCTAGGTAGGTGTGCCTCTTAGGCTTACCAAAAACCTTCTCCCAAGAAGGAGCGTGAGAACGAAAGGAAATCTCATTCATTCCAAAAATATTTATTGAGCACTTACTTTGTGTCAGACACTGTTTATGTGCTTGGGAGTCAGCTGTGAACAAAATGGTAAAACAATTCCTGCCCTTGGGAAGCTTGCGTCCTAGTGAGGGGAGGTGGGCAACAAATAATAGCATGATGAATAAGCAAAAGATTCAGCATGTTAGAAAATTATAAACGCCATGAAAAAAATTGAGCAGACTAAGGTGGAATTGGAGGTGTGGGATGTACAGGTGGGAAATAATTTTCAACAGAATTCTCAAGGAAGCTGTCATTGAGACTGGGGCACTTGGGCAACTACTTGAAGGGGGCCAGGGAGACGAAATAATCACAGGGTTATTTGGGTGAAGAGTGTGCTTTGAGAAGGAACAGCCACGGGAAATTTCCTAGGGTCGGGTGCATCTGGACTGTTTGAAGCATAGCAAGGAGACCATCTCGTCTGGAGTGCAAGAACAGAGGTGGGGCTGTAGCATGTAGGCCCCTGTAGGACATTGTAAAGACTGTGACTTTTATTTCCAGTAAAGTTACTTAGGGGTATGGAATGTATGGCGCTAGAGTTACCAATTGCGCAGTTATTTGAAGTCAGATTTGGGCACTGAGAGTATAAATAGACCACAAAATTGGATTCTCTGAGCTATCAGAGGCCTTTCAGAGAACCGAGTTCTCTTGCTCCTCAATCCTTGAATTTCTTCCGCAGCATTGCCACCACAGAATCAACTTGCCTGTTCTTGGAGACCCTGACAACAGGGAGCTCTTGTCTTCCCAAGACAGCCCATCTTTCTAGTTCTGCCTGGTGGGAGAGTCGCTCTTTTATTGAGCTGACGTATGACTGCCTGTCATTGTCATCCGTCACCTTTATTTCTGCCCCCAGAGGCCTTCCAGCATAAGTCTAATCTCTCTTCCTCATGGCAGCCCTTCAAATATGTGAAGACAGCTGTCGCATCCCCAGAGTTTTCTCTTCCCGAAGCCAATAGTCTCCAGTTCCTGCTATCACTTCTCATATGACAAACATAGTCAACTTCTGCTCAATCTCCTCTGACTCTGCTCCAGATCTATTTGATGCCCAGAAGGGAGCCCACATGTGCCTGCCTGGAGAAGACCAGGCCAGAGCCATCCCATCCTTGGCCTGGACCAGGTTCTGGGTGGTAGTGCAATGAAGGGAAAAGACTTTGGAAGTGATCAGCAAGGATTCGAATCCCAGCTCTGCCCCTTCCACGCTGTGTGGCTCTGGAGGGAGGTATAGTCTCTCTGAACCTTTATTTCTGCATCTGTGAAGTGGAAGTGGTAATACCAACTGTGGAGATATGTTGCGAGAGTTTAGTGATTTGATGAATTTGAGGTTGTTTGGCACCTCATACAGGCTCAAAGTTGATTTTTAATCTCTTCTATACCTTTCACAGTATTTTCCTCCTCTATCCACTTAGCATTTTATTCCCAGAGCCAAATCTCACAAAATCCAGCCTCCTGAGTCCCTAGCAGAAATATTCTTTACGCTCTTCTTTTAATTCCTTAATAAAAGATACATAGAGTCTAGAGGGGTTTCCCCCCCTATTTTTTCAGCAAATTAATAAATACAGTGGAGAAATTTAATTGGCCCAACGTGCAGCCCCTCAAAGGCTGTAGAGGTAGTTTTGGGAATCGTTCTAGTGGGCCATGGGCAAGAACTGTGGGGAGGAATGGATGGAGCGATCCACCTACGTTCTGTCTCCTAAACTCGTAGCAAACAAAGTGTGTTCTTATTCTAAATCCAGGAGAGTGGACTCTTTCTTTGTAGTTTGGTATAAAGATGTAACCAGAACTTTCTAACCATCGCAGAGCATCATAGACACAGCTCCGCAATGAATATGACTCTCACTGCTCATCTGAAGCTGAGGGATAAGGGAAAACACTATCCTTAAATGGTCATATCTATTCTGATGTGGAGGATAGGGAGTTGGGGAGAAGACTGTGGCATATCTGGGCCATTCTGAGGACCGGCTATTTGGCCAAATCAAGCCGTCCTCTCTACAATCCTGGTCAAGAGGCTCCCCATCTCTTGCATGAACTATGGCACTAAGCAATCTCCTGACCAGAGCCCTGCCTCCCGTCTCACCTCTAGTTCTCTCTGTGATCTGCTGATGGCATTACTCTCAGAGGCTCCCCTGGCAATCAGGTTCCTACACACTTCATGCTCCAGGCTCAGCGGAAATTCCCAACCTCACACCCAGCCCCCTCTCAGCTGTAGTCTTTCAAAATTATTTGCCATCCCTAAAAACGCCATTCAGGTCCAAGCCTACTATCCTTTGGATGTGCTGTCAATTCCTCCTGAAATATTCTTGTCCACTTTTTTGGTTAATGAATGCTCATCCATCCTTTAAGATCCTACTCAAATATCACTTCATTTATGAGGACTTCCCTGGTCCCTTCAGGAAGAGTTTATTACTCCTTCCCCTGTGGTCTTACAACACTTCGCACACACTTCCATTGTCTAAGTCACGCGTTGTAATACAATGAACTGTTAATACCTCTGTCTCCTCCACCACAGGAGGAAGACTCATCTATTGCTTTCCTGGGGCTGCCATAACAAACTACCAGAAACTGGCTTAAAACAACAGAAATTTATTCTCTCACGAAGTCTGAAGTCAAGGTATCAGGGCCAGCTCCCTCTGCAGGCCCGAGAAGAGGATCCTTCCTTGCCTCTTCCAGCTTCTGGTCGTTCACAATCCTTGGTGTTCCTCAGTTTGTAAGTGCATCACTCCGATCTCTGCCTCTGTTGTCATGTGGCCTTCTTCCCTGTGTCTCTGTGCCCAAATCCCCCTCTCCTTTCTTTTATAAAGACACCAGTCACTGGATTAGGCTCCACCCTACTGGTCACCCAGGATGACCTCACTTTAACTTGATTATATCTGCAAAGACCCTATTTCCAAATAAGGTCACATTTACAGGTGGGGAGGATTAAGACTTCAAAATATCTTTGAGGGGGACACAATCCAACCTTTAACACTAGGTTTTATGTGTTTGTGTATTGTCACTGCCTGGCATATAAGAAGTGCATAAAAATGCTGCTTAAACGATGCAGGGATAAATGATGAGTGAAAGGAAGAAGGAGTTATCCCAATACGCACTCATTCACCATGTGCCTCCATCTACGCCACGCCCTGTGCTAGGTGCTGAGTTGACAGAGAGAACGAGATGTGGCTTCGACCAACATTCCCTCTCCACGATGTGCCTGAGCTTCCCAGCCAAGTATCTTTGCAGTCCTCAGCTCAACCCAAGTTCTTTAGCTTTAAATAGATCTACCAGTGTGTCTGATGCCAGAGTGCTCATGACTAATTCAGGACCTTCCTGGCAGCGAGGTTAGGGGTGTGGGAGTCCAGCTGGGACCCCCTCACTCCCCTAGGAGCAGTGGGTCCTGCTGCCACTCAGCGGGTGTGAGCATTTTACTCTCTGCATCTAGACACAGAATAAATACGTCAGCTCTTTTAAAACAAGTGCCCACTTCTCCCCTCCTATTCTGCCCTAAGTTTTATTTCCTGACTCATAAAATGGGGATAATACCCAATTTCTCACGATTGCTGAGATAGTCGACATGAAAGTAATGTATTAAGCTATTTATTAGTATTTAACATTCAAACTTTATTTTGATGCATATTTTTCCTAACCCTGTTTTCTCGCCCCTTTGTAACGTGACCTTGCAGCTTCTCCTATGAAAAGGTAGAGACTAGTTGAAAAGCACTTAATGTTGGCACTCGCTCTTGTGGTTCTTGGCAGTCTTTAAAAAATTTCTTTGGGGACTCTGAAAAATGGTGGACCCCACTTTCCTTCTGGACAGTCCCCAATAGTTCCGACATGCTCTTGGAGTCCAGTAACCTCAGATATCCTGAACCTTATCATTAGTGCCATATTCACATATTAATGGGTCTCTTTCTTCAGACTATGTGCATTACTGAGCAAATCAAAACTGGCCATGGCTTCTGGGGACCCTGGGCCTAAGAACAGTTACCCTTTGCATAGTCTGCAAACACAGCCTGAAACAGTGGTGGATACACACGCTGATTAAATATATCAAAATAAGCACCCTGCTTATAAATTAATCGCAGTTTAGAAAGAGATTTTAAAATTATATTTCAACTGACCCTCATGACAGTCCTGTGGGCCAGGATGGAGATGCTATCCCTTTTTATTTATGAAGAATCTGAGACCTAGAGAGGTAATGCTACTTCCTCAAGATCACACAGCTAGTGTATTAGTTAGTGTTTGCTGTATAACAACCATCCCAATACTTGGTTTAAAAACCACAATGATTTATTAGCTCATGTTCCTGCGGGTTGGCAACCTGATTTGAGATCCTGTGGGTAGTTCTTCTGTTGGTCTTGCTTGGGCTCACTCAAGCAGCTATAGTCCACGGACAGGTCAGCTGAGGACTGATTGTTTTAGGCTTGTCTCACTCATGTGTCAGACAGTTGGTGCTGGCTGCTGGTGGGGGGATGGGGATCATTGGGACATATGTCTCCAGTAGACTAGCCTGGGCTTATTCATACAGCAGCTGTCACAGAATTTCCAAAAGCCACAAAGGCAAGTACTAATGTTCAAGTGTTTTTCAACCTATGTTTGTGTGGTATTTACTACTCTCTCACTGGTCAACGCAAATCACATGGTCAAAGTTATATTCAAGGAGTGGGAAGTGCCTCACCTTTTGATGGGAGAAGTTGCAAGATCACCTCACAGGGGTCAAGAATACAGGGATAGGAAGACATGTGTCTGTTTTTACGATCTACTACAGCTACTAAGTGGATGGGAACTAAAGATTATTCAGTACTCCTCCCGCTTTGGGAGAGATACAGGAATGGGCTCAAATAATGCTCGGCTGATGGATGTCTTTTTTTTCTCTTGCTCAACGAGTTATAATTATGATTCTGCCCTATGTGTATAGCACATTACAATCTTACAAACAGGTTTATCTCCTAGTCCACATACAGGCACATAAATGAGGGCTGGTTGTAAACAGGCAGCATGAGAGGTGCAAGCTGAGAGAAGGTGTCAACCCAGTTGCTGGTTTGGGCAACTAGGTCTGCAGGAGCTGGGACAATGAAGACTGACAAAGAAGCAGGTCATGGGGAGTGAGGGATAGACGGGGAAAAGGGTGGGAGCATGGATGGCAGAGTCAAACGGTGCCATGTTCAGTGGAGGGACTGTGAGGATCTCCAGCGAATTATCCACATAAATAAGTCACCGAAGCTCAGGAAGGACATAGGGGTAGGTGATGTCAAGCTGGAAGTCATCTATGTAGAAATGGAAAATTTGTTAGAATTCATTTGATGGTGATTGTTGGAACATCTAATTCACGCTACCCTAAAACAAAACAGTAAAAAAACGTGGAGTTTTGAATTCTATCAACAATATCACTGGAACGTCCTAGAACAGTCTTGCTTCGAGCATGGTTGGATCCAAGGGTCCCAATGATATAGTCGAGTCTTGGTCTCGCTCCAACTCTTTGCCCTGCTTTCTTCTGTATGCTGGCTTTAGTCCAGGCAAGTTTTTTTCCCTAGATCGTAGCAGCATGCTCTCAATCAATCACTCATTCATGATATTTTATCAGTCCATCCAGACTCAGAGGACATAGTTTCAGGACCTGTGCTAGGCAAGCCCAGGACACCCCCAGGGAACCCTCGGGAGGCGTCTGGACTCATTTGGCTTGGAGCCTTCTGGACCATCTGCAGGGTTTTAAAAGTATCTTGGTCCATTCAGTGGGATGACTGGTCATATTTAAATCACAGTTCTTTTTCGGGAGCCAGCTGGCTCTAGTTCTACTCTGGGCAAGGCTGGGGAACCCCAAAGAACTCTCTTGAGGTTAGTAGTAATGGAATCCCAGGATTTCCCACAAAAACAGAAAGAAAGAGGGAGTGTGTGCTTAAATATCAGTCCTGGGTGCCTTGGGTTATTTATGCCCCTCACCTGGGCCCCCTTACCTTGCCTCCTGAGACACAGGATGGATGAGATGGTCCACGGAGGGAAGACGGCACTGGAGGAAGGGATGGCCAAAGATGAACCTTGGGAACATCCACATTTAAGCGGTCAACAAAGAAAGAGAAAACAGCGAAAGGAAATGAGAGAGGTCAGTGAGTTTGGAGGAGAATTAGGAGAAAGCTACTTCATTAATCCCCTTTCCAGAAGAACCCCAGAATTCTCAGACATGCTAACCATCTCTTGCTCATTTGTTCTCCAGAGACCTCTACACCAGACAGTTAATTTCTTTAGAATGTTAAGTACTTCACCAGCTGCTGTAAACAGCCCCAAGGTGCACATCCAACACCTATCATGCAGATTAAACTATTAATATGGAGGAAGGGAGAGACAAGAAGAGATAATCAAGTTTAATTCAATTTTTTTTCCCCCAAGAAAAGTATAAGTTGGCAAGGAGTGCTGTGTCTTAATAGCCTCTGAAGGTACACCTATCCATGAGAATTAGCCTATTTTCTCTAGATTTTAGGATTAGGAGCTCCCACGCCTCCTACAAGCTCTTTTGTTTTCTTGATTATTTCCAACATGCCTATGGCTAACTCAAGAATTAAGAGTTTAGGTCAAGTAAGAGGAAGGTGAGTGCGCTCATTCTGATTGTCAGTTTCTTCATCTAAAATAATGGGTATAATACCACCAAGGTCTCAGGGATACTGTACAAATTAAATGGCACAATGTTCGTCAAGGGCTTGGAATGGTCCCGGTATACAGCAGCCAACTTAATTACACACTAGCTACTGCTAGATAACTAGATACAGGAAACCCTTGGAAGGTGTCTTTCATTTTTCTAGCATCTACCATTGGCTTTCATGAAGCTTTTGTTGAAGTAAGACCATACACAAATAAGCAAGTAAAATATATAGCCTGTGTAGGGGATCAAAATATATCACCCCAAAATACATCACTTTGACATAAGGATTATTTTGAGCTAGAGGCAAATGAGAAAGACGTCTTCCAGGAGCTTCCCTTATCTGGCCAAAGGCAGAAACTTCTAGAAATGAGGACTGCCATAAATCCCTTCTTCCAGGGACATTTCCTGATCATGAAGAAGACAGAAAATCAGCAATGAGACAGACCTGCACAAACAAACCTTTCTCCATTAGTTTCCTGCATGTATTACCTTCCCACAGTTTGTCACCCTTGGGAGTCTAAAACTGTTTTCTTTGTCTTGTCACTTCTCTACACATTTATTGTTTTTTGTTAAGATGCTATATGCCCAAGTCCTAACCACCCCTTTGAGTTACTCATCACTGGGTTTCTCCTGCACGTATGCATGCTGCACGTGAATAAAAGCTGTTTATTTTCCTCTTGTTAATCTCTGTTTTGTCAGTTTAATTTGCAAAGCCACAGCAGGGCCTCCTAGGAGGGCAGAGGAGAAAGTGTTTTCCTGCCACACATGTGTCAAATGGGAGTAAATGATTTGGAGAAAAATAAGGTATGGAAGATGGATAAAGAGTGTGGAGGAGGAGGGTGGTAATTTAAAATGGGAAGGTAGGCAAGTGGTGAACATTTTTTCCTGTTACTTACAGCTGAGGGTATCCTGAGGGCTATAGAAGTTGCCTAATAAGGCTTGCTTGGTGTCTTCGTAGACCTTGCAGTTGGCGGTGAATACAGATGAGTAACCAGAAGATGATACTACCTATGTGAGCACAGGAGAATGCACAGACTGCTGAAGAAGCACATAGGCATGTCGTGCAGGCGACAAAATCGGCCAGATCCTGGAATGCCCTGTGCTACGATGTCTTGCCTCCACTAACGCCCTGACCCAAGCCAAGAGGAGACAAAAATCCGCCACTATATTCCCTTAACACAGCTGTTTCAAGACAAGACTCTCTTGACGAGACTTTACAAAGGGTTATAGGATCAGAGTGAAATAAACACAGAGGAGCAATGTCTAGAATCCGTCTCGTCCAGTATGGTAACCACCAGTCACATAGCCCTGGTGGTTTAGATTTGGTGCTTTCACAGCCATGGCCAGGGTTTGTTTCCAGGTGAGGGAACCACACCACCCTCTGTTGGTTATACTGTGGCAGCTGTGTGTTGCTGTGACGCTGAAAGCTGTACCACTGGTATTTCAAATACCAGCAGAGTCACCCATGGTGGACGGGTTTCAGCGGAGCTTCCAGACTAGACAGACTAGGAAGAAGGACCTGGCCACCCGCTTCTGAAAAAATTGGCCAGGAAAACCCTGTAAGCAGCAGCAGAGCACTGTCTGATAACAGCACCAGAAGACGAGAGGATGGAGCAAAAAGACCGGGCAGGGGTCCACCGTGCTATACACAGGGTGGTGAGGAGTCAGGATCCACTCGGCAGCACTAACAACAAAACCATACGCTGCCATTTAAAACAAAATTTATCAAAATTACATAAAATAAAAAATTCCTTTCCTCAGTCATACTAGCCGCATGTGGCTAGTGGTTACTAGATTGGACAGTGCAGCTAGAAAACATTTCCATCGTTATAGAAAGTTTCATTGGACTGCCCCGGCCTGGGGAGTATGGATCAAGCAGTGGTAATCAAATTTGAATGTGCCTCAAATATGAACCACCTGGACATCTTGTTAAGATTTTGATTCATTAGGTCTGGAGGTGTCCAAGATTCTGCATTTCTGATAAGCTCCCTGGTGGTGCCCACGCTGTTGGTTCACCAGTCACCCCGTAGGAGCAAGAACTCAGAGGTTGGGGCATGGTCTCCAGAGCTTGTAGGAAACAGATGGTGGCCAGGGAGCTTCCACATTAACTCCTTCCACATCCACCCTAGGTCTTATTTCTCCCTTGAAGGGAGAAGACAGTATATTAACTCCACTGTCCCTTACTAGAGATTCATAGCTTATGGACAAGTGCGTGGGCTAAAGATTCAGAATGCCTCTGTTAAATTCTTGGCTTTAGGATTTACCAGCTGTGTGAACTTGAGCCAGTCACTTAACCTTTCCGTGCCTCAGTTTCCATCTCCAAAAGATGGAAAATAATAATATCTTAGAATGTTGTCTGAAACTTTGTAAGCGCTCTATAAATGTTAGCTATTATATTTACTAATCAAATAGATTTGGTTGCAAGGCACATTTTCTCATATATCCACTCTCTGCTAGGGACTAGGAAATATAGATACGATCAAGACACAGCCCCTGACCTTGAAGGGCCCCCAGGTAGGATTGTAGGTGGCTGGCACTGGCATCATCTTTGGGAATGAGATATTCTGTACTTTGTTTAATAAATAAATAAGACGTCTCATGATGTTCGATGCACATTTCCATGAAAACCTATGCTTCTCTTTTAACTTGCTGCTCAGTATTTCTGTTGACATTATAGGGCAACCCTGCTTAAGGCTTAACTAGTAAAACAAGGTACCTACGTATGCAACTGGGAGATATGTCAGCAGGCCCAGTCTCTGCACAGTGCTATATGCAAAAAGGAGATGTGCTGTAACTAACATTATTATGGGAAATTTGTGTTTTTACTGGTTTCTCCTAAAGGGTCCCCAGAGGATGTAATTTATAACTCAAAGCAGTGCTCCTTAAAATCTTTTTTCCCTACTCCTCTGAATTCCTTTTCTCGTCTTTCTGCCAAATCTCTACCTGAAATCAAGCCTGTGATACTTTCCTGTCTCTTTCTCCCGGTTTCCCACTCATGTAGGAGGCCCGAACCTTGCCTCTCTCCTCTGCCCATCCCCTCACTCACAGGTTGTTCCCTCTGACGCCCTCTTGCTCCAGTCTTGATGTTCACAGCCCCACTTCCTTTCTGAGAGCCTGCGCTCCTGGCCCTCTCCACATCTTGCCACCCGCTGGGAGAGTATGTGTGGCTCTAGCTCTCACCGCTTCCGGGTGGAAATCTGTCTAGTTCCCAGATAACAAAGGAGAGTTGAGAAACTCACCCTGAAAGCAAAAATCCTTCCTCTGTAGAAAGGAGCTTGGAGGGTGAGGCAGACAGAATTGTAAGATGTCCCCTAGGATCCCTGCCTCCTGGTGTACATGCCCTGCATAATCCTGGGGACCTTGAGCATGCTGGATTTTACTCCTTTGATTGGGTTACGTTATATGGCACATTGACTTTAAGAAATGGAGATCATCCAAGCGGACCTTGACCAAATCAAGTGAGCACTTTAAAAGCAGGAAGTCTTCACAATATGACACTGGCATAGCTATGGACTTACTTATTAGGCAGTGGAACAGAATGTAGAACCCAAAAGCAGATCCTAGCATATATGATAATTTAATACTTGACTAAAGTTGTGATTTTACCAGATGAAAATGGTGGGTAATTTAATACATGCAGCTGTCACTATTAGCCATCCAAATGGAAAATAACATTGGATCTTGTTCATAAACTATTCAAACAAACCTTCTAGATTCATGGCACACATAAAGGTAGAAATAATAATTGCTTTCCAATATAACCTAAGAGACTACGTGTACAATCTAAGGGAGAGAAGATCTTAAACAAGACTGGAAATGCAGAATTTATTAAAAATGTGTAGATATATTTGAGTCTTTAAAATTAAACTCTTATGGCAATAAAACCAAAGATAAAATGAAAAAAAAATCACGTAATGATACTTCAGTCATTAATATCTACAATAAAAAAAAGAGCTCCAGCAAGTAGACAAGAAAAGATAAATAACCCAAGAGAAAAATGGTTAAAAAATATGAATAGTAATTTAAATAAGAGAAAATAACCAAGAAACATGTGAAAATGTTTCACGGTAATATAAAAATGCATATTAAAATAATAACATAATCCCTTTTCTCCAAAGAGACTGGAAAAAAATTAAAAACTCTTATCTTTAATTGTTACTATGGATGTAGGGAGATACATACTCTCAAACATTGCTGATGGTAATAGGAATTGCTATAACCTTTTTAGAAACAAATCATTGAATTATACATATACTAAGTTCAATAGTATATATATATAGTATATACTAAGTTTAATAGTATATGTATACTACTAATAGAATATGTATAATTTGTAATTTTCAAATTGCAATCTACTATATGAATGCATAATGTGCATTTATATTTAAAATGTGCATTATTTAAAAAAATAGACCACATGGCAAAGAAAAAGCAAACAAAAGCAGAGGGTTTTCTCTGGTTGGTTAGAGAGATGTGCTCCTACAGGCCTGGAAAAAGAAGCAACAACCATGTTGTGAACCACTCATGGTGGCCACATAGCAAGGAATGAGGGTGACCTCTAGGAGCTGAGAGAAGCCCTTGACAAGGAAACAGGGTCTCAGTCCCACACCCACAAAGAACTGATTTTGACCAATAACTTCAATGAGTTTGGAAGTGGCTTCTTTCCCCAAAGCATCCAAAAAGGAACGCAGCCTGGCCAGCACCCTGATTTCAGCCTTGTGAGAAGAGACCTGGGGAAAGACCCCAGCTATGCTATGGCTGGACATCTGACCTGGAGAACTGGGGGCTAAGAAGCGCGTGTTGTTCTAAACCTCTGAGTTTGCGGTAATTTGTTACCTAGCAAGTAACCTAGAAAACTAACACAGAGGGAGAGCGGGGACAGATTAGATATGGAAGCTCATACATGAACAATTTTTGTTTCTGTCCTAGATAAATATATTACTGGTCACACAGAGCAGACGCTAAGGGCTGAATGGAACACGGATGGTAAGTGGTGACAGAGGCCAGTTGAGGGGACCTGTGGCAGTAAGAAATGCCCCATAGGAGAGGGGCACCATAGGTGCTGATGGTGGATGGTAGGATTTGGTAGCTGGAGGGAACAAGGAAGCCTTCAGGTGAGGAGCTGATCTAAGGAAAAGTGTGTGCAGGAAGATGTATGCTGTGTTCCGGGAAGAGCCAGGAGGCTGCTCCGGACCTGCCTGTCTTCCCTCCTTCCTTTCCAGATGACTCGCTGAACAGGTCATGCACTTTCACACCTCCAGGAATTTGCATGTGCTCCTTCCTCTGCCTGTAACTCCCTTTCCCCCTTTCCCGCTTGTCTTTCAAGACCCAACCCAAGCCTCCTCTTCCGTATACCCCGCAATTTCCCAATCTCAGAAAGGCTAAGCCCAAACCTAAGGTTTTATAGCTCATAAATGGAAGCTGACACTCCAACACATTGCTCATTCTATTCCACAATCAGTGAAGAAAGAACAGAAACTCTTTGCTAGGTCAATAATCAATCTCAAATTCAATTCTTTTGCCCAATTCTCATTTCCAGATGGCAGATTTTCTTAAAGAGGGGCATACCTGTAACCCGCCAGGTTGGTGGCCCCAATTCTACAGGAGCCCCTGGTTGCAGATTTCTAAAGCAGCTGGAGCTATGAGTTGCTGCCTGAGGCCCCCAATGAGAACTGGAGGGCCCCAGGCTCTTCCCACGGGATCCTTGATCATGTTCTCAGTTCCTCCTCCAGAAACGTGGGGCTAAAATAAGCCCAGAGGCTGAGGAATGGGTGAGTCAGAGCTCTCAGAGTGGAGCAATCACTGCGAGGCTGCTCCTTGTAGAAACACCCCCCTTGAGCCTGAGTTGTTTATGCCGAGAGCTGTAAGGCTGAAAAATGAGCTCTCCTAAGACAGGCTGGCAGCAGGCCCCCTTCCTGGAGATGGCATGGTGCTTCATAGCATGGACACTTTCTGTGCCAGTATAAAGGGAGGGGCACATGCCCCTCTGAGCCTAGAAGCCTGGTGACTAAGGAGGGGGAGCCTGGGCTGGAAGCCAGGTGACATGAGGTTTACTCCCAGCTTCACTGCTTGCCAGATAAGTCAGATCAGGTAACACCCATCACCCCTCTGAGTCTCCTTTTTCTCAGTTGCAAAATGAAAACGTGAGCCCAGATGATTTTCAAGTTTCCCTCTGGCCCTGGCATTCTCTCGGTTTATCTGAGTCACCCCTCACGTGCCAGGTCTCCAAGCTCACTCTCAGGCCCTGGTCAGTGTGGGACATTAAAGGTGGAGAAAGGGATTCTGACGTGGCCTGTGGCAGCCATTGCTCTACTGAGCCAGGCTCAAATGGTACTCGCTGATCAGGCACCTCCACTGTGCAGGCATCCGGGAGTCGACTGGGGATGCAGAGGTGAAAGAGACAGGGTCCCTTCCAGAGCTCACTGTCCAGCAGGTGAGAGTGTGGACAGAAGACGTGGACAAGAAGATGACCAGCTGTACAAATTCTTTGCTGAGTCCTGATTGAATGATACACACGAATAGCTCAGAATGAGGAGGAGTCCACAACAGTCCAAGTGGGAGGGGGCTTCAGCTGAGAATTCAGTTCTGTTGCTAGAGTTTCCCCCAACTCAGTCAAAAGTTGTATTGAGAAAGAGGTCAGTAGGAAATGACCAGAGAGGTCAAAATTCATTTTCTTCCAATGATCCAAAATTTTAACATCTATGTAATTTTCTCCAGGCAGCGAGAATAATTCCAGATTGGTTATGCATCCCGGTGCCTCCACATAATTGAGAGAAAAATCATTCACACACAGTGATGGGGGCCACTCAACCGAGAAAATTTCCAATACCAAGAGCAAGAGACTGAATAATTCCTAAGAGTTAAGATGCTATTCCTATTATGCTCGCCATCTCATATATTTACCACATCCAGCACTTCCAAAATGTCTTTCAGTCATTTGAAAACATTTATTATTTATGACATTGCATTTTAAACCATATTTAAAACAAATCTTAAAATTTAATCACATATTTTAATATTCTCAATCACCATGAGACTTTATCTAATTTTATGATTTTCTCAGTAATGAGATTTTTTGGCTTTCAACTTTTTGTTTTGAAACTTTAAAAATAAAATAAGTTAAAATTAAGATATGCATACAGAAGATGAATAAAACATACATAAAGAAGACTGAATAAAATGTTATATATATATATATATATATGTAATTATTTATATAATTTAAAGTAAACACTATATAACCACCAATCAAGTTATACGGTTCTATAGATTCCCTTCTTTCCCATGTAAGCTCATCTAAGAGGCATGTTTGTCATTTGTAACCATAGCTGTAACACAGCAGATGAAGCATCTAGGAGGTACCTGGTACACAGTTGGTGCTCAATAGGTGCTCATTCCAATTGTGATTCAGTGATTCATTCAATAAACATCAGCTGAGTTTGTATCAGGTGCCAGCTCTGTATCAAGCACTGGAGAAGGAAAGATGGCTGGGATGGGTTGTCCCATCCTGGGACTGAGAGGGAGACAGATGTATAAATAGACGAAACTGAAATTGACTACAATCCCTGCTAATGGAGAGCTCTGCCCAGTGTTTCCCGGACACAGAGGAAGGAGTGATTCATCTAAGAAGGAGCTGGCCAATCAGCATGGGGGCAGGAGAGCTGCTTTTTCCACCACAGGGAAGAGCCTGAGTGGGGCATGGAGGCCTGGGTGAGCCGGGTGAGTCAAGGTGCACGGTAGGGAGGGCAAGATGAGAAGAGGGGAGAATTGGGGAGGGAACCGGACTTTTTCCTCGGGGGACAGAACAACTGACAGTCCTATCAGTGCATCAAATCTAGGGGGGCAGTTCCCCTCACAGTGGGGTGCAAGTTTGGGGCTCACGTAAAAATATCTTTCATCATCACATGTGACAAATAATGATAATTCACAATTTTATAGAGGCTGCTGGGCGCTGCATAAGCATTATAACATTTAATCGCCACAAAATCCCCTGGGGGATATACTATTATTACTGAGAGGCAGGAGAATTAATTATGATGACACATGCTCTGAGGCTGCGCCACTTGCATTACAATCCTGGCTCCCCACTTACTAAATGCGGACTTTTAGGCAAGTAACTTAACCTTCCCATGTCTCAGTTTCCTTATGTTTATAGTAGAGTAATAAAAGAGCCACTGTGATGGGGTCGTAGAAAGGATTAAATGAAATTCTACCTGTAGCGTGTTTAGACAACGCTTGTCCCGTGCATGCCGTTTAATGGGTGTTACCTCTTATTGACCCATTTCACGGAGGAGGAAGTTGAAGCTTGGGGAGAGAAGGCCATGTTTCCAAGGTGACACAGCCAGCAGGTTAAAAATTCTGGATTCAAACCTAGGAAGTCTAACCAGAGAGCCCGAGCTCTTTATCATCAATCAAGTCAGCTTTGGTCCCTCAAGTGTGGGTGGATTTTTGACCCGCTTAACTCTGTTTCAAGGACTTTCTTATTTGCCCTAAAATGTCCAGCCAGAGGGCGATGAGGGCATGATAATCTATTTGTCATTGCCCCCCTCAGGAAACTGATTAATTAATTAATGGGTTTATCAAACATTTATTCATTGGTTGAGCCCTGCTAAGTGTCAAGCACAGTGTTTGTCATTTCACATGAATTATCTCAAGTCCTCTCCACCGCAAAATCTGCATGACTGTTCCCATTTTATAAGCGAGAGTGTTGATGCTCAGAAGAGTTAAATAACTCGTCCGAGACCACACATGTGCTGTTGACTTCCCGACGTCCACTCCATCTGCAAGGGCAGGGCTTATTAGTCCGAGCTAATCATACAAATTGTATCCCAATTTACAGTGGGAGAACGCAGGCCAAAGCCAATTAATACAGAGGATTCCGTTGGCCACGGGATTAGTTCAGAAATGAGCATCAATTTGAATAAAAAAGATGCAAGAGAAAATTTTCTGTGGTTCTACAAATATTGTCGTCACTCTAGAGACAGCCTCAGCAGGAGACGATCTCTGGCACAGTCGTGCGTGGATTGAGGTCTGCAGGTGCTGCGGCCACCTCACTATCAGCCTGAGGATGACACTGGTGCAGGAGGTGGGCATGGCCAGGAGAATAAGTGACCACTGGATTAAGCCAGTCCTGAAGCTTCCAGCTCTGTGGGTCGGTGGATATCCTTATTGTTCCAACCAGTCTGAGTAAGGATTTCTGCACAGCCAGCAAGGCAGGGAGCTGGGCTGCAAGTCCAAGTCCAAACTGGGGCACCTCCCCAATCCGTGGCTCCCGACTGGGCCTGGCTGCAGACATGGCTCTTCTACCCAAGTTGTTTACCATCTGGCAGGAGGCTCTTGGCATTCTGCTCTGGTGGCAGATTTCATCATCAGTCACAATGCCAACGAGATGGTGGTTTGAGTCATTGTTTATCTGTTGGTCCAACTCTTCCATAATAAATACGCATCGCTTAGATAATAAAAACAACAAAGGGGAAAACTCCATGTGAGGCTGAGATAAACAAAAAAGCTCTGCTAGAAAAGAAGACTTATCTAAAGATAAAGCTGAATGATGTGTGTTTTAAAGAATGCTAAACAGACAGAGCAAGGCTCTGAGCCTTTTATCACAACGAGGCGCCAGTTCCCTTTGAGACCTGACTATTAATCAAGAGGAGCTGGGTGTCGCTATTATCAAACTTCCCTGATTTTCTTCAATCAGTAAAGGAACTTACATCAGAATGCCCTAATCAACACAGCTTCTGGGGGCGATGGGTCCAGCTAAGAGAGATCCTAGGACTTTAAGAAGAGACGTCCTACAAATTCATGTAATTCTCAAGACGGAGAAAGCCAGACAGGAGATCAGCCATCCATTGGAAAGTTGGTTGAATGCTGTGTTTCTATACAGATTTGTCCACCTCCCTCGCTCAGCAGTGAGATCTTCAGGCACAACGAAGCTCCCTCTCCACATGGAAGAGAGCTCCTAACACCCAGGGCTAGGCTCAATGTGTGTGAGGTTGTACCATAGAGACAGAGAATGATAGAGGGGGTTGAGACCACAGAGAGTGGGGCCCTCCGAAGAGGTAGAGGGTCCTGCTCAGCTGCCAATCAGTTCTGGGGAGTTAGCACCAGCTTCCAAGAGGGGCGGAGTCATTTTGGGAAGAGGAAAACCGTATGAGTCAAGGTCTTTGGGAAGCTGGTGGAGTCTGTCTGTTGTAAAGTAGCGGTACAGGCTGTTTTAAGGCTTTGGTTAGCCTTAGGCTTTCTGACTTTGGTTCCTCACCTGTAATATATTAAAATGCCCCCGCATCCCATGTTAAATGGAATTTATATATTATAATTTATAAAATTGTTATAAAAGCTTTTTAAAAGTTGATATGACACATTTTGTAGACACACTAAGTGAAACATTTATTAATTTACATGTTATTGCTTTCATGTTTCAGAGCCAATAATTCTGTATTTGAGATCTCAAAGATTTCTCTAGGCCCTTGCAAAGCTTGTAGGCCCCAGCTACTGTTACCATGGAGCCTGATAGATGAAACAGCCCTAGTGGACGAGAAGGACGGTTGTTCCTCTGCTGGGCAGGTAGGCAAGGAGCAGATATATTCAGCTCTGTTTTTCTCAGTGCATGGAAAATGGAGGGCAATCACGGATTGTGAACAGATTGATGCTCAGATAGGAGGGGAGGCTGGGGTCAGATCAGGGCTGGCCTTTCGGGAAAATCGGGGGGGGGGGTGGTTTAGGCCAAAAGCTATGGACACAAGGTGGGGGCCATCCTACACAGGAATCCCCTGCATTTTCCTAATTCCATCTTTGTAGGTTTAGAGCAGTTGGCAACATAGATAACTTACAAAAACCAACTCTCTGTGTCAGGCGCTGTGCTAGTCCCTTTTACATGTAATGATTTCAATGAAATCACAAACAACTGTGTGCAGTAGGTGGCATCTTTGTATATTTTACAGATGAGGAATCTGAAGCTGGACAGGGGAAAGGACGTGGAGAAAGTCGCACAGCAGAGCAGGAGCTCAAAGAGTTTTGTCAGACACCAAGGACCCAGTCTTTCCTAGAAAGTTTGCAAGTGAGTGGGTGAGTGTTGGCTTGAGGAGGGTGAGGGAGAGGAGGTGAGAACTCCGTGGAGCTGGTTTCTGGAACCCTGGTTTCTCCAGAGCCCTGCCTCCTTGGTAGATTTCCTTTCTGCTCTCCTGCAAGTGCCCTGCTGAGCCTCTGGGTAGACCTGACTGGGTTGCCCCTTCGTTGCCAAGGACGGATCATCTTGCTGGGCTTTCCCAGGGGCATTAATGAAACAGCTCCTGTGGTTGCAGCCACACAAAGGTAGGCAAGGAAATCACTCTGATTCAAAAAGCAGAAACTCACTCTCCAGCTAGAGCCCGGTTCCTGACCTTCCCCCACCCCCCCGACCAAGGGCACAGGCTGAGATTCCTTTTCTCCCTATTTACTGGATTCATTCCAGCCTCGTAGACAAGCCCTCCCTCCAGCCTCGTTTACCTGCTGTTGTTTTTAACTTCAAAACAGTCATAGCATCAAAGCACAGAGGAAAGATCAGTGTCTGGAGTCAGACAGACCTGCGCTCTACATCTCAGCTCTGCCACTTGCTAGAAATCTGATTTTGAGCAGGTCGCTTGAGGTCAGCTTCCTCATCTGTAGAGGGTTTGGGAAGAATTAAATGATGCAATAAAAGCCTTATGAATGCATTCAATTACCTGGGAATTCATGTGCTTTTGGAGGAAGTATGAAGCAGAGAAGCAAGACAGATGCCTTTATTTTCTCCCACGGATGAGGGTGGAAGGCAAGGAACAGTGTTTGAGCTGAGGAACAGACAGTGCAAGGCCTAGGACAAATGAAGTCTAATACAGGTGGATCACAGACTATGGGGAAGGGATTAGGGAGAAGTAAATTAAGGCTTGAGAGCTCAGGCTGATCCAGATAGTTCAAAGCCATGTAAGTACTTAGCACGTTATCATAAAAGATATGAGGAGCCACTGAAGGGTTTTAAACAAGGGAGTACCATGACTTATGTTTTTATAACTTCACTTTTCTGGGGTAGAGAATAGATTGCAGGGGGTCAAGCCTGGAGACAGGCAGCCTGGTTAGGAGGCTGGTGAACCAGCCCAGGTGATGGGGTGGCAGGCTTGACTAAGGAGATGGAGGTGGGGATAGAGAGAAGTGGATGACTGTGCCGTTTGCTTGTTCTGTGGCTTCAAGTGAGCTATTTAACCTCTCTAAGCCTCAGGTTTTTTTCAGTCGTTTCTTGAGGATAATAATAGCATCCTCATCCCAGAGTTGTTAGGGGATTAAATGAGATCATGCACACAGAGTACATAACGGCATCTGCTCATACCCAGCACAGTCAAGATGGAAGTGATTGCTGTCATCGCTCATGGTGGAAGTAGCGGTCCTGGAAACATTACAGGATGCTCTCAGAGAATGCTGCTGTCACAAAGGAATGAAACGAATGGACAGTGAGTACAAGAAAAGGCCCTCTGCAACAATGAAATCCTGGTTAAAAGGTACAATGGTCCTGGTGAGGAAGGAAGTAAGCAAGTGGGGAGAGTTGTTGTGTAAAGAGGTCAATGTGCCAGCTTGGTGAGCTCTCCTAAGAGTGAGGACACAAGGAAGATGTGTCCGAAAGGTGGGTCGGGGGTGGGCAGGCTGGAACCTCTTTCAAGAGGGTCAGGAAACAAAGCCCGAAAAACACCGAGGTTTGTGGAAGGGTTTTTTGTTTGTAGAGAAAGCCCACAGAAGAAGTATAACCTGTGACCTGAGTCCTCCCACCCCATCCTCCCTGCCAGGAAAACTCATCGCTGAGTCAGGACGGTGCGAGCTCAAATTGGTGGGAGGAAATGAAAAAAAAAAAAAAAATCCAAGAGGAACGGAAAGATGGTGAGACAGCATCTTGCTGTGTTAAATGTGTTCAAGTCTCATTGCTCAGACAAATGGCATGTGAGGATTCATTTCAAAATGGGAATGTTTTGATTGTTTTTGCTGATTTTAAAGGAATATATGCTCATTATAAAACTCTCAAACTGGGGACTATTTTGAGCGCTAACTTTGTGGCAGGAACTTGGCGTAGAGCTTTATATGCATTTATGTCGTTTAATTATCACTCAAACTTATTTTGTAAGTAGTATCATTTACCCATTTAACAGCTGGTGAAACTGAGGCCAAGAGAGGAGCAGTGACTTGCCCAGAGTCACACGGCTATTTCTGTGACTTGCTAGCTATGGAAAGTTACTTAACCTCCCTAAACCTCGTTTTTTTCCAATTGTTTAGGGAGATAATAACCAAACTGTGCACTCAGACACTGGAGCTGTACTCTGTTCAGAACTGGATTCTGCAACTTACTAATTTTATGTCTTTGGGGAAAAATCACATAACCATGTGCCTCCGCGCCTGGTCTGTGAAATGGAGATGTTAATAGGACCCGTGGTTGTTGGGAGGATACAATTAGCTAATACACGCTAAGGGCTTAGAGCAGTACCTGGTGTGCAGTGACTGTTAGCTCCCAGTAATATGCCTGGTAGTGGTTAGTGTTCCTATGCTGTTTTGCTAGGACAATGCCACTTATCCTACAAGGTTCATTAGGGGGAAAAGAATGGGTTTTTAAGGGCAGGCAGATCTATTCTGAGGATTAAAGGAGGTAACACCTGTGAAACAGACCAGCGCCTGGAAAAGGGGAAGTGGTAGGTCCATGGCAGCTCTTGTGATCTGTCGACTCTCAAGCACAAGCTCTTAGCTGCTCTTTGCTACTTCTTCACGCTACGTTATTGTGCCTAAAATCCTATCATCCAGAGGAGCAGATCGTTAATAGCTTCTTGTGCATCCTTCCATACTTTTGAAACAACCACATAAACTTGTTTCAGTGTGATTTTCACTTTTGACTACGGGTTAGATATAGCGGGTGTGGATTCTGGCTTTGGCACATAGTAACTGCATGACCTCAGGAAAGCTACTTAGCTGGTCTATGTCTTAGTTTCTTCATCTGCAAAATGGGAATAATAATATCTATCTCACACAGTGGTGGTGAGGACAAAATACAGCCATTTAAGGCTCTTAGAACCTTGTCATGTAGGTTTTAAAAGACAGTCGTTTAAAATAGATACCCCACACAATACCCAGGGCAATCCTTGTAAATCAGATCGTGTTGCTTTCCTGCTTAAACTCTGAAATGTTCCCATTGCATTTGGAATTAAATTTGTATGCCTAACCTTAGTCTATGTGAGGGTTTGGGTGGCCTGGAAAATGTTATTTCCATTCTCCACCTGAGTTTAGGACTGAGGGAGCTCTAGATAAATATCTCTTGCAAATCTCTGTGGAGTATGTGGCTTAAATCTGTGGAAAAATAGGTTGAAATCTGTGGGAATGATGGACTGAATTGTGTCCCTCCCAGTTCATGTGGTGAAACCCTGACCCCCAATATGATTGTATTTGGAGATAGGGCTTCTAAGGAGGTAAATAAGGTTAAATGAGGTCATAAGGGTGGGGTCCTAATCCATTAGGACTAGTGTGCTTCTAAGAAGAGGAAGAGACGCCAGGGACGTGAGTGTCCACAGAGGAAAGACCTTGTGAAGACACAGCAGGAAGGAGGCCATGTGCAAACCAGGGTTCAGCAGACCCCGACCCTGCTGACACCCCGATCTTGGACTTCTGGCCTCCAGAACTCTGAGAAGATAATTACGGTTGTTTAAGCCACTTAGTCTGTGGCATTTTGCTATGGGGACCCTAGCAAACTAATACAGGAGGTTTGCGAAGGAGCACCCAAGAAATATTCTGATTGACAGGTTCGTAGGCAGAGGAGGGCAACCCCAAGCTTCCTCCCTAAGGGTTGCCCATGTAAAATCCGTGGCAAAGAGGAGCAGAGAATGTGTGCCTCCCATGGGTACCCTGGATGCTAAAGAAGAGACAGGAAGGGCTAGGGTTCATTTTCTCAAAGTCACACACTGGTTAAGTCATCCTCCTTCTAAGGAAGAGCCGGTGAGGGACAGAGGGAGCCCGAAGCTACTACTCCAATTGCAGTCTCCTCATATGGAGGCATGAGGAGTGGGGGAGATGACTTTCCCTACTAAGAACCTACAAGGCCGAGCATGATGGGCCTCTTGACTCTTCCTCTAACTTCATCTCACCTCCATTCTTCTCTTTCACCATACTCCAGGCACACGAATCTCCTTTCTGTTCTGAGTTCTCTCAAGCCCTTCGTCCACTTCAGCTTCTTTGCGCTTGCTGTTCCCTCTGCCTGAAATGTCTCCCTCATTCTCATCCTTCAGGTCTCAGCCCCTACGTCACCTTCCCAGTGAGCTCTTTCCCTAATCATCTGCCTTCAAGTGGCCACCTGAAGTTACTCTCTAGTTGAAGGTCATGCTATTTAATTCCTTCCTTGATAGAACTTAACCGAATCTGTAATTACCTTTTACAACATTTTATGTGCGTGTATATTCTCTGTCTCTCTCAGAGAATGCCAATCTTCCGAAATATCTGGAATATAGTTGGTGTTCAATAAGTTGGACATGCAAGTTGAGAAAGAGGCGAGCAATCCCTGACATCCAGGCGCTGGCCCGGTGCTGTTGGGGAGGGCTTGGTGTTGCTATGAGCCAGCTTGGCACTCACAGCCAGGCCTGTTGAACCTAAACAATGTCATAGATACACCAATAGCAGGCAAAGTCACTCTGTAACTGTCCTGGGACAAGATAAAAACAAGATCACAAAAATCACCAACATCCTGACTAATATGAATGACGGCTGCTTCTTTTCCAATTACTGCTTTAGCCTTGCCCTGGAATTCCCTCCCTACAGACAAGATTTATTAAGATATTGGAGCATAAAATAACTTTTGCTTCCTGATGACCTCCAATCCAGAGCAAAGCCTCACTTCCTTAAATCCTTTCCCAAATCACACAACCAAAGCCAAATCCTGTAAGTCCTTTCTAAGAACCATTTACTGAGACAGTCCACAGCTCCCCCAGTGTCCCTCCTTTCTCAATGCAGTGATCAATAACCCCAACTTATTCAACTATAGGTGTGTCCCTGGTGGTCTTTGGCTGGAGGGCATTCACAATATGAATTGCAATTTCAAGGACACATCTGGCTTCAGACTCATCTGGATGTACCAGTTTACACAATGTATCAGGACACTGTCTTTCTTTCCATATTTTAGATCCACAGTCCTCTTGTGTTGGCTTCATCTTCTGGTAGGATCTTTCTTTGTAGCAGGTCAGGTGGCCACTGGGACCCCTAGCTCTACATCCTTACAGTCTGTCATGCAGATGAGGAGAAATCTACCGTTTTTCAGTGGCCTAACATCAAAACTTAAAATACTCTGATTTTCTCTGCTTGTTTAGATACTTACCCCTAGATCGGTCACTGACCTGGAGGGGGGTGCACTGGTTGGCCAATCTGGGCACAAGCCTGCTGTTGGGGTAGAAGAAAAGCCCCCTTGATTGTCAGTCCCATGAGGTTTATGTGGAGTGGAGGAAGATTGCTTCCCATATCAGAGTTTGGTTAGGAGAACAGAAAACGCTCCATATTTTATAAGCAGTAAGGGATTTTATATGGAGAATGAGATGCTTATAAAACTATAGTGAGAGCCAGAGGGAAAAAAATAAAAGAAGGTTTCAGCTTGTTTTCAGTTATGCTGCTAGTTTTCAAAGCAATCAGAAAGGCAAAGGACCTCAGGAAACAGCTGACAATGACTACAGACACCCTCAGTCCTGATGTGGGTGGTTCACAGGAAAACGCCCAGAGGCTCCTCAAACTCTCACGTCTGCTGCAGCCCACAGATCTTCTTTCTGTCTTTCTGTTTCTAAAGGAGCGGCAATTATCTACCTATCTATCTATCTATCTATCTACCTACCTGTCTGTCTGTCTATCTATCTATCTATCTATCTATCTATCTATCTATCTATCTATCTACCTGTCTATCTATCTATCTATCTATCTGTGTATCTATTTATATCTATCATTATCTATTCCAGTCTTTCAAAACTTGTGGAAATTCCTCACATTGGCAGACTAGTTGTCAGGGACTCTGGGGAAAGCAGTTCACATTCACAGGTCTCTGGCCTCTATGACACAGGAGGGGGGAATGACATTGACTCGCCAGCAGATAGTCTGGCACAGATCCTCAGAGTAAGGGATGTTGGACAAATGACATGTACAGTACCCTTGGTCGTAGATGCTGTAAGTACTTTTCTCAGATTATCCTTTTTTATTTTTTTAACTTGTAAGGGTTCAAAGGAAGCTTAATTTGTTTGAACAGCTTTGGGGCTCTTGGGAGCATTGAGGAGACTGGATTCCTGAGGATACAGGAAAAAGTTTCCATTTTCAAATAGAGGCGGACACTGAAAGTCATGAACTACAGTTGGTGAGCTTGCTGGAAATTTTGGAAGAGTGTCTAGATAGAAATACCAAGAAGATGGCTCATGAAGACTTGGAAAATAAAACTGATTGCAAAGCGGCGTCAGGGGTT